GAATCTCTGAGACCATGGGGCCCTGGCTGCCTCACGTGGTGCAGCTTCCCCTCCCTGTCTGCTCGCATGTTCTCATTCTCCTCCTCAGACTGTGGCCGCTTTTTCTGATAGCGACCACATGCCAATGTGGTATTTTGTTGGCGGGGCCATGGCCCCGTCACTTTTAAAAGTGCCCTCCCACTTTTTACTGTCCATAAGAGGGAGCGAGGGGGGAGAGGAGGCAGAGAGGAGTGAGCAGGGGGTAAGGTCTTGGGGGGGAGGGGTGGCATGAGGCCAGGACCTTGGGGGAAGGGGACGACAGTTTGGGCACCAGTGGCCCCCCACTCTTAGGAGTTTCCGCCCCTCCTGTTTTGTTGTCTTGTTTTATAATGAAAGGGGTCATGTTTTTTTAAAAATATTGAGCTAAAAAATGTGTACCCCACACCCTCCTGGGTGTGGTGCTCTGGCCTCTCTAGTGGCACCGAGAGAGAGATTAATTAGCCGGCCACAGCCTTAGGTAAGGGCCAGGTGGCTTTTAGCTCACAGGGTAGTTGCTCATGCAGTGAGCTCCAGAGGCCCCACGTTCGATCCTGGGGTCTGTCGGTGTTACAAATGCAAACCTTTTATTTTAACGGGGAACCCCCATTTTTTCAGTTCAGTTCTGGTTCAGGGCCAGTAGGTAGGACAAAGCTGGCGTTCAGGGTCAGTACGGGTTTGACTCTCTGACAGAGAGGTGTTTGGAGAGTAGCAGTTAAGCACCTGAGTCCCCCTTGAGACTCCCACCCCTAGTGTAAAATAGTGAGTTTGTGATCTAGGGGCAGGAACTAGGATTCACCAAACTCACCTCATGTGAAGGCCACCAAACATCCATTACATGGGAACAGCATTTAACATTGCTGAGCAGGGCAGGATTCAGACAGGCTCCGTAGCTCATTAGCAATGTCCTGAGGCCATCAGTACCCCATGAGCACCTATCTTCATGAATGAGACTGTTTTCAGGAAAGGTAAGTTCTGACCTTTTTGAGCTCACATAGGCCCAATCTCCCCTTTCCGGTCAAACAGGTAAAATCTGCCACACACTGCTGTCATTCTCAAACACAGTCTACAATAAAGTGCCCCACCCCTATTCTTAAAGGACAGCTCCCATTAACCACAATACAAACACTAACAATGCAACAGCAAAGCATGTATTAAGGCAACATCCAAATTCACTTCTAAGTACAGAAATGTTACACTAATCCAACAATTTCTTCAGGTTTCTTTGTGCATATTTTTTCACCACTCTATGGGATATCCACCGGGTTTGAGCGTCTAACTTTCAGTTCTACAACCCAAGCTCCACCTCACTTCCAGGAGCACCTGGGGGACCAGAGAAGCCTGCTGTTAGCAACTATGTGAGCCAGTGGGTGCCCACAGTGGTCTCCTGGCTACAGCGAGTGTAGCCGCCTGCCTGCATGGAACTTGTCTGCATGCTAGTTGCAGCAGCTCTGTAAATAGCTCTCTTAAGAAAGAGCTAGGTTAGTTTTACAAGCATGGTGCCCGCCCATGTTACTACCAAGCAAGCAGTACATGGCACAGACAACAGTCAGTTGCAGCATTGCCTTTGTCTGGGTCATCTGGCTGACTGACCCCCTAACTGTCTGCATGTACAAGCAGGAGCCTTATTGCTTGAGCTGAAGAACCAGCAGTCTTAGCATGGAAGCAGTTGCATTCATAAACCTCTTTATGTTATCTAGTCACTAGGGGTTGGCACAGAGCCAGACTGGGTTAATGTGGGTTACAGAAACTCCTGTATTGACTGATACAGACCTTCTGAGTCGCAAAATGAACGTGCCCTGGTCTGTCGTGTTCAAGGCCTGGGTTCTGTCCCGAGCTGTGCCTGAAGTGACCTTCTCTCGGGCACCGTATCTATTAAACAGGTAAGTGACAGTTGCCCCCAAGGCAGCAGTACAGTGCAGAATAGCGGTTGTGAAGTGTCCAGCAATATTAATAGTCATCAGTAGATGATCAGGTATTAGAACTCATGATCTCTGGGCTTACACCATTGTGAATTTTCTGCTAGGCTACCACAGAGGGTGAAATGCTCTTGCTCTGCTTATAAGAATTCCCCTCAATAGTCTGTGCCTGTTGCCCCTGCACCTGAGTCCCTAGCATAGGCGACGAGTTATACAGGCCCGTGGTGCCCATGCTCCACCAATCTTTAGGAACGTGGGCCCGGCTCCACCAATGTTTGGGCTTACCGCGCGTTGGGTGGCCCCGTGCTTCAGGGGGACGCAGGGTCCAGGGCAGCCGGGAGGGCTAGTGGGGGAACTGGTGCCGGCAGCAGCAAGAGATCTGGCCCCAGCCCACCCCTGCTCCACCCTTTCCCCCAAGCCTCCACCCCGCTTCTTTCTGGCTTCTGTCCCCTCCCCCAAGCGACGCCAGGAGCTGGTGGGGCGGAGCAGAGCGGGGTGGGCTGGGTCTGGGTTGCAGGCCCCCCGCTAACCTCCCAGTCCGCCCTGGACCCTGTGTCCCCCTGAAGCATGGGGCCCCCCCAAAGCGTGGGGCCCGGGGCAATTGGCCCGGTTCATCCTATGGACAGGACGGCTCTGCTTGAACCTGTTCTGGGCACCACCAAAAATTATACAAACCTGGCGCCCATGGTCCCTAGATGCATGTCAGTCATCTGTATCCCAGGTGGTGATGTAAGGGGAGCATCAGGAGGATTGTGGTTGTGAAAGGATCACAGTGGAGGTGACAATAACCAAGGTGATTAAGCTGTTGGGCTTTTGTTTGATTGTCTAGACGAGTCTCTGGTCTCTATGCTGGCATACTGCCCTAGCCTTGGGCCTTGAGGAGAAGCTGGAGCACACAGCTTGTTCCTTGGGATCTCCTCCCACACTCCAGAAGTCTGAGGCTTCCTCACAAGGTTACTCTGCTGTTTTCCTGCAGCATCTGTGATCCCCATTGCTCACTAGGCTGAATCCAGGGAGCTGGGGGCACTGGGTCCTGTTCTGCCATTCCCAGACAGTCCCTCCCAGATGGTGAGATGCAGACCAGGGGGATGGGAGAGGTTCTCCTCAGTGGGTAGGCTCTGATTTCTGGATCAGATACTTGTCATGAGTGGCCACTGGCTGTGTGCCTGGGATGGTGTTGCGCTGCTCTCTGGGAAGAAGCAGGGGTTCAGGACCCTGTTCCTGCCCATTTTCACTCTCTGGGTCTGGGCAGCAGTCATGGCTGCCTCAAAACCACAGCGATGGGTGTGCAGAAATGCCTAGATAGCTAGAGGGGTTTGTCTGGAGCTGGATAGACCATTTCTCCGTTGTCTCTATTTCCCCAAGAACCTGTGCCCTCTCCATTGCCAGCTGGTGGCTCTGCAGCTTGGGACCTAGCTGTCTCTTCTCACAGAATATCAGGGTTGGAAGGGACCTCAGGAGGTCATCTAGTCCAACCCCCTGCTCAAAGCAGGACCAATCCCCAATTTTTGCCCCAGATTCCTAAATGGCCCCCTCAAGGTTTGAACTCACAGCTCAAACCACTGAGCTATCCCTCCCCCTGCAGTGGATTTCCCTTCAGAAGCAGCATAAGATCCCACTTGTGTCCCAGCCCAAGCTAAGGCCGTGAGTCAGCAGTAACTAGCTGTTCTCCCAATGAGCGCACCCCGTGACATGGGCCCATTGTGACCTGGGGTGAGGTGGGGAAGTAGATCTGTCTTGGGCTCCCCAACACCCCTCCTGGGCCAGGCCCATGACCTCCTGTGCCTTTGTCCTGATAGCAAGGGTTTCTCAGCCAGGTGTGGTGTGGTGTAGTTTCTCAGGCCCATGGGTGGTGGTAGCTGCCTGCAGACCTCAGGGGTTGCTACAGCCCAGCTATCAGCCCCAGCTGCCCCAGGGCAAAAGGCAGGTCTGCACCACTCCCTGCCCTGGTCTGTCTGTTCCTCCCCCAGCCTCTCTCTGGGCAGGGAGGGTGAGGAGCGTTCTGGGCTGAGTCAGCGATTGGGACAGCAGGGCAGTGTGGTGGCTGCAAGTGCTGTGTGACACTGCTGTGCTGGAGAGGAGGAAGGGAGGGATGCTGCGTAATGACAGTCCACAGAAAGCTCTTGTGTGCAGTGCTTGTTCACAGGGATCTGCCCCAGCCCTTCCTCTCTGCAGCAGCCAGCAGCTCAGACCGGTTTGGGGCTCTCAGACGCACTGGGGACACCGCATCCCTGAGGCCTGATTCACACTTGGATGCTGTCAACAACCAGCCTTGGTACAAACGAGGGCAGAGGCTTGTGCTCTGTCGGCTGGGGTTGGGCGGGATGAGGTGACAGGCTCCCAGCAGTGCACAGTGCCACTGTCCCCTCTAAGCTGGGTGTGCGCACACACGGATCCTAAACCCCGCACACACAGCAAAACACCTCGCATACTGAAATTTGCGCAGAACACATTTTTTGCGCACATGGCCTGTCAAAGATTAGAGGGAACATTGGGCTGTGCTAATAGCGGGGAGCGTCCCAGAAGTGACAGCTGTGGAGAGCACAACCCTATAACAGGAGTGACCCCCGGGAGCACCATTCTACTGGGGGCAGAAACTGAGGCACAGATGGATCACATGTCATGGCCAAAATCACACAGTGGGTCAGTGGCAGAGCTGGGAATAGAGCCCAGAATCCTGCTCCAGCACTTAGACCCTCTCTTCAAGCTTCCTCCCCTCCACCTGCAGAGCCTGCTCCCCCCACCATCGGAGGAGGCGGGGGGGTGCTCTTTCCAGATGGGATTTTAGCAAAGCTGGGAAAAATCCTAATTTAGGATAAATGGTGGGAGCTGTAAGGCAGCCCAGCTATTTGCCCCTGGGAGCAGCCTCCTTGGTAGGGCGTGAGAGCTGGTCCCTCTGTAATCTGCCCTGGGGCACCACTGCTGTGATGAGAATGCAGAGCCCAGGAATCCTGGGGAACTGGTTTTACACATTCTGTCTGTGCAAAGTGGATGGAGCAAGGGGGATGAAACTCCACCCCCTGCAAAGGTTTATAACTTCTCCAAATGGTCCAGCCGTGGAGCATTGCATCTCCACTTCCAAGGACACCAGTCAGCTCTGTCGGGGCTTGTGCGAGGCAGAAATCAGGGAGTGATGGCCTCTATGGGGCTTCAGGTGCTGGGCATGGCCCTCTCTGTCATTGGCTGGCTGGGCACCATCCTGTGCTGTGGGCTGCCCATGTGGAGGGTGACGGCCTTCATCGGGAACAACATTGTGGTGGCTCAGATCATCTGGGAGGGGCTGTGGATGAACTGCGTGGTGCAGAGCACGGGCCAGATGCAGTGCAAGGTCTACGACTCCATGCTGGCGTTGCCCCAGGACCTGCAGGCGGCTCGTGCCCTGGTGGTGATCGCCATCGTGCTGGCCGTGCTGGGCCTCCTCCTGGCCATCATTGGAGGGAAATGCACCAACTGTGTGGAGGATGCTTCTGCGAAAGCCAAGGTCATGATCGTCTCTGGAATCATCTTCATCATCGCTGGCATCATGATCCTCATCCCCGTCTCCTGGTCAGCCAACAACATCATCCGGGATTTCTACAACCCCATGGTCACTGAGGCGCAGAAGAGAGAGCTGGGGGCCTCCCTGTACATTGGCTGGGCTGCATCCGCTCTCCTGCTCATCGGGGGGGCCCTGCTTTGCTGCAGCTGCCCCCCCCGGAATGAGAAACCCTACTCTGCCAAGTACACTGCTGCTCGGTCGGTGCCGGCCAGCAACTACGTATAGGGACCATGCGTGCTCTGAGCCTCGGCCACCCCTCCTACCCAAGACAATCAAGGAGCTGCTATCCTGCTCAAATCCAGCCCGCTGCTCTGCTTGTACCTCTGCCTGAGCCCAGCTCTCCCCCCTGTGGCCCTGGACCTGATGGCTGAACACAGACAGAAGCTGGCAAGGAGCTTCCCGAAGGAGAAGACTGTGGCCTTTCCACGGGCTGGGGCCTTGGGAGAGCAGCTCGGCCTCCTGAGAGCAGAAGCCCCACGGTGCCAGGGCTGGCTGGCTGCTCAGACACACCCTCAGCACATCCCTGGCTGACGTGCACAGCTGGTGAGCGGCTGCACAGCCCCAGTGCTAAGAATCTGCCACTGCAGCTTGTTTGTGCCAGAGCACAGAGCTCTTGGAATTCCTCAAGGTCACCTGAGCGAAGCCAGCCTGGGCTTGGACCTGGCAGCCCATCAGGGCTCTGCTGGGCATCTCCACAAGGCGCGGCCAGCTCCGGCGCTGTCAGCCAGCCCCCTTGCAGCTCTGGCACCGCCTGTGCCCACCTCGGAGGGGGAGGGGGAGGAGGGGTGCACTGGGCGATGTGTGCGGGGTGGGGGGTGGAGAGTAGTAAGAAAGTTTGCAGGTGCTTCTCTGTTTCCCTTGAGATTTCAGCTGGTTCTTTAATCCGAGTTAAAATGGAGAATAGATAGAAACAGTCCCTGACTGCTCTGGCAGCACTATGCTTCAGGGGGACAGAGAGATGACGCTGGGGCAGGGCAGGTCCTCCCTGGGAGCAGTGAGCCCAGCCCTTGCAGAGGAAGGAAAGCTGCAGCGAGGCCCAGGCGTTGCCATTCCTCCCCTGCAGCACCTGAGGGAAGGGTGGGGACCTCTAGGCCTCCTTCCAGTACCAGAGCTCGGGTCTCCAGCAGGTGCTGGCATTTCGGTCGGGCCCTTGCCCAGGGGTCAAAGCAGGAGCTTTTAGTCTGAGACTGCCTTATTAGAGTGAAACTGAAACAGGGCCCCTTTGTGTCTCCATGTGTCTGTCAGTGTCTCAGGCTGGGTGTGAGTCATGATGTCTTGGTGACTGCGTTTCGGTCTGTGTCTCTGTCTCTGGGTGTGTCTGAGTTTCTGTGTTTGCCTGTTGACTCACAGGGTTGTTGTTCAGTGGGTGTCTCTGTCTCACTCTAGGGGTCTGTCTTGCTCTTGGTGACTCTGGCCAGGTCTACACGAGAAACTTTTGCTGGTAGTGCAGTGTCACGTAGGGGATGTGATTTGTACCACATTTCTGTGCTGGCAAAAGCTGCAGAGAAGGTGCAGGAATGCTAGCAAAAAAGTCCTTTGCTGGCATAGCTTATTTCTCTCAGGGAGCCAGGATAAGCTGTATTGGCTACAGCACTCTTGCTGGGACAAGCTGCATCTCCCCTGGGAGGTTTGCCCCCGTGGCTGTACCTAGAGAGACACACTGGCCAACGCTCCGAGTGGAGAAAGGGCTCTGGCCTGCTCTTAGCATCCACCAGAGACAGTGCTTGGTTCAGATGGTCCATCCTGAGGGGCTGGGCTGCTGAGCAGGGAGCTGTTTCCCGCCATCCCACCCCTGCCCTTGTACGGGGAGACTTTGGCAAACCAGTAAAGTGCCTGAAGCCTTGGGTTGAAAGAGCCCCGGGTAACACCCTGTGTTTCTGCTTTGACCCATTCTCAGGCCTGTATTTGTTTAGCTGCACCTGTGATTTCTGTGTGAGTGGCACCTGCGGGAGGGGCAGTGCTGGGGACTGGATGTCAATGGCCCAGCTGGGCAAACCGGTTTGGGAGGTGGGAGCAGAGCCAGGCAGGCTGAGCAAGAGCAGAAAGGAAGGGTACTTCCACTGGTGGCACACCCCCTCTCTGGGAGCCTGAGGCCGCACATGTCCAGCTCCGGCTGAGTCTGGAACAGGGGAGCTGCACCCGGACCACTGCAAACAGGAACAGCCTGAAGGCTGCCCAGATTAATCAGCTGGCTACAGCTCCTGTGGGCTGCCAAACCTGGGGAGGGGCAAAGCCACTGTAACAGGCACCCAATGAGGCACCAGGCGCATCCTGTGGCCTGATGCTGGCTCCCACCTATGCAGACTAGACCAGGCAGTTCCAGGGTTCACCTCTGGGAAGGGGGCCCCCCGTCGGCATGGCTGATTTGCTTCCTCAGTGGTGACCCATAGGCCTCCCCCGAGAGCTGGAGCATGGGGCAGAGCTCCGCTTATGACAAGCAGAGTGGCTCTGGAGGCTGGAAGTGCCAGGCGCGGGAAGGGTGGAGCGAGCATGGGCGCTGGGATGCCAGGAGAGTGATGGAAGGGGGCTGTGCCCCAGAGTGACCTGGGAGCCCCCTTCTGCAGACTGGGGGCCAGGTTGTGATCTTCCTGCCAATGTGAAATATTAATAAATTAGTGCCATTTTCTACATTAAACCGCAGCTGCTCCAAACCCGGCTGTGCCGTCTCTCGTTTCCCGTCGAACAACCGCGGGCTGAGCCGGGGCCCCCGCCTCCCGGCAGCTCGTTCACGGGCGCGTAGGCAGCTTTGGGGGACGGGGCAGGGATGGATTGGGGGGTTCCAGCATCAGGGAACTGCAGGACTGGTCTTGAACTACCTGCCCTGGGCCTGTGCTCCCCACACATCCCCCCAGAGCCCTGCCCCCAGCCTGTGGTCCCCACACATCCCCCCAGAGCCCCGCCCCCAGCCTGTGCTCCCCACACATCCCCACTCCAGAGCCCCACCCTGCCCAGAGTCTGTGCTCCCCACACATCCCCCCAGAGCCCCGCCCCCAGCCTGTGCTCCCCACACATCCCACATCCCCACCCCAGAGCCCCCCCCCAGCCTGTGCTCCCCACCACCCCACATCCCCCCAGAGCCCCACCCGCCCCACAGCCTGTGCTCCCCACACATCCCCCCAGAGCCCTGCCCCCAGCCTGTGCTCCCCCACACCCACATCCCCACCCAGAGCCCCACCCTGCCCAGAGTCTGTGCTCCCCACACATCCCCCCAGAGCCCCGCCCCCAGCCTGTGCTCCCCACACATCCCCCCAGAGCCCCGCCCCCAGCCTGCTCTCCCCACACATCCCCCCAGAGCCCCGCCCCCAGCCTGTGCTCCCCACACATCCCCCCAGAGCCCTGCCCCCAGCCTGTGCTCCCCACACATCCCCCCAGAGCCCCGCCCCCAGCCTGTGCTCCCCACACATCCCCCCAGAGCCCCGCCCCCAGCCTGCTCTCCCCACACATCCCCCCAGAGCCCCGCCCCCAGCCTGCTCTCCCCACACATCCCCCCAGAGCCCTGCCCCCAGCCTGTGCTCCCCACACACCCCCCAGAGCCCCGCCCCCAGCCTGTGCTCCCCACACATCCCCCCAGAGCCCCGCCCCCAGCCTGCTGCTCCCCACACATCCCCCCAGAGCCCCGCCCCCCAGCCTGTGCTCCCCACACATCCCCCCAGAGCCCCGCCCCCAGCCTGCTCTCCCCACACATCCCCCCAGAGCCCCGCCCCCAGCCTGCTCTCCCCACACATCCCACATCCCCACTCCAGAGCCCCACCCTGCCCAGAGTCTGTGCTCCCCACACATCCCCCCAGAGCCCCGCCCCCCAGCCTGTGCTCCCCACACATCCCCCCAGAGCCCCGCCCCCAGCCTGTGCTCCCCACACATCCCCCCAGAGCCCCGCCCCCAGCCTGTGCTCCCCACACATCCCCCCAGAGCCCCACCCTGCCCACAGCTTGTGCTCCCCACACACCCCCAGCCCTGCCCCAGCCTGTGCTCCCCCCCCCCCCCCCAGAGCCCCGCCCCCAGCCTGTGCTCCCCACACATCCCCCCAGAGCCCCACCCTGCCCCCAGCCTTAGCCCCGAGCCCCCCCTGCCCACAGCTTGTGCTCCCCACACATCCCACATTGCCCCCTCCAGAGCCCCGCCCCCAGCCTATGCACCCGATACATCCACGTCCTCCCTGCAGAGCCCCACCCTGCCTCCTGGCTTGTGCTCCCCACACACCCCACATCCCCCCTCCAGAGCCCCATCTTGCCCCCGGCCTGTGCTCCCCACACACCCATGTCCCCCCCTCCAGAGCCCCACCCTGACCTGTGGCCCCCCCACACCCCATGTCCCCCCCAGAGACCCACCAAAGGCCTGTGCTCCCCACAGACCCCACATCTCCCCTTCCAGAACCCCAGCCTGTGCTCCCCACACACCCCATTTCCCCGCTCCAGAGCCCCACCCCACTCCTGGCCTGTGCTCCCCACAGACCCCACGTCCCCCCTCCAGAACCCCACCCCACCCCCGGCCTGTGCTCCCCACTCATCCCAAGTCCCCCCCCTTCAAAGCCTGCCTCTACCCCCAGGGTTGGCTCCCCACACATCCCACATCCCCCTCCAGAGCCCTGCCCCCAGCCTGTGCTCCCCATACACCCCATGTCCCGCTCTCCAAAGCCCCACCCCCGGCCTGTGCTCCCCACATATACCACATCCCCCTCTCCAGAGCCTCACCCCCAGCATGTGTTCCCCACACACCCACATCCCCCCCTCCAGGAGGCTTAACTTTGTGATTGTCCTCACCCACAACTATTTCACATTGTCCTCACCCACAACTATTTCACATGTGGGGACAACGTATATACCTTCAAGTCAGCAGCACTGCTATGGGTACCCGCATGGCCCCACAGGATGCCAACATTTTTATGGCTGACTTAGAACAACGCTTCCTCAACTCTCGTCCCCTAATGCCCCTCCTCTACTTGCGCTACATTGATGACATCTTCATCATCTGGACCCATGGAAAAGAAGCCCTTGAGGAATTCCACCATGATTTCAACAATTTCCATCCCACCATCAACCTCAGCCTGGACCAGTCCACACAAGAGATCCACTTCCTGGACACTACAGTGCTAATAAACGATGGTCACATAAACACCACCCTATACCGGAAACCTACTGACCACTATACCTACCTACATGCCTCCAGCTTTCACCCTGACCACACCACACGATCCATCGTCTACAGCCAAGCTCTACGTTACAACTGCATTTGCTCCAACCCCTCAGACAGAGACAAACACCTACAAGATCTCTATCAAGCATTCTTACAACTAGAATACCCACCTGCTGAAGTGAAGAAACAGACTGACAGAGCCAGAAGAGTACCCAGGAGTTACCTACTACAGGACAGGCCCAACAAAGAAAATAACAGAATGCCACTAGCCATCACCTTCAGCCCCTAACTAAAACCTCTCCAGCGCATCATCAAGGATCTACAACTTATCCTGAAGGACAACCCATCGCTCTCACAAATCTTGGGAGACAGGCCAGTCCTTGCTTACAGACAGCCCCTCAACCTGAAGCAAATACTCACCAGCAACCACACACCACACAACAAAAACACTAACTCAGGAACCTATCCTTGCAACAAAGCCCGTTGCCAACTGTGCCCACATATCTATTCAGGGGACACCATCATAGGGCCTAATCACATCAGCCACTCTATCAGAGGCTTGTTCACCTACACATCTACCAATGTGATATATGCCATCATGTGCCAGCAATGCCCCTCTGCCATGTACA